ATGATGACTATGATGATGATAATGATGGTGATGACGATAGAGATGACGATGACGACTATGACGAAGATGATGATGGTGAAGACGATGTTGTGATGATGCATAGTTCAATACTTATGATGATGATGACCGTGACGAAGATTGTGATGATGATATCTGATGAAATTAATATTGACGAAAAAACACAAACACCAACAAACTCCAGTAAAAACAGCTCCTAATTTCACTGACGTACAATTCAGTGGGGGGAAGTATGCCGGTGAGATAGTGACATTTGAAGGGAGAGGGGTCCTGACTATTGGAATGTGTCTGCAGGCCTGTTTTGAAACCAATCATTCCGTAGCTTACATATCTGTATGTGTCTCGTTACGTTGGGTCTCGCTATGTGTCTCGTTTCACGTCTCGATAGGTGTCACGTTACGTTATGGGTCTCGTTATGTGTCTCGTTATGTTATGGGTCTCGATAGGTGTCTCGTTACGTTATGTGTCTCGTTTCATGTCTCGTTATGTCTCGGTATAATTGTCATTTCTATCACTTTCGATCATGCCAGGATGGATACAGATGCCACTGCCAGCAAAAACCCCAGTCCGCCTGTAGCCCACCACATTACGACATTGCCAAAGTGGAAAATTGTTACATGCGTTGTCATGGCAACGATCAACAGAGATGTGGCGGAAATCGATTGTGTAGCGCCAAATATTTGAGTTGGTGAAAATTAATTTTTGTTCGGTCCTTAACTTTTTTCCATTTTAATTATAATTCATGAAAGTTAAAATTTTTTAAATTAAAATCGGATCAATAACAAAAGATATTATCGCCATATTATCTCTAATATAGCCTTACAAACGGTTCTCAGCAGGCTACTTAACCGAATACCAGACCGGATCTTCGGTATTTCAACACTGTCGAGGCGAGCCGCTGCAATTGAACAGTGGAGTTCGGTGTTTAAAAGGATGTCACAACGGATGGATTGGTCCGACTTGTAACAAGAGAAGTAATTATTATTACTATTATTATTATTTTTTTTATTATTATTATTATTAGTAGTAGTAGTAGTAGTTGTGGTCGTAGTTGTGGTAGTAGTAGTAGCAGCAGCAGTGTAGTAATGGTAGTAGCAGCAGTAGCTCTAGCAGTAAAAACAATAGCATTCGAAGTAGTTAATACTACAATTACTAATGCTACTATCAACAGTAATAATAATAACAATAATAATAAATTATAGTTTCTTTACAACAGTAATAATAATAATAATAATAAATTATAGTTATAATATTGAAATAATAAAATAACTCAGCCTGTCTGAAGGGTAATGGTGATTGTGGCCCGTTAAATTGCGTAACGTTTCAACACAACAAAATTGAGATGAGTGAGTGTGTGTGTCAGCCCAACATGTATAGGACTAAGTTTGGATTCTGTCAGGGTCCGGAGAGAGATTTTTTTTCTATCAATTTTTAATAATTTTTGAAATGAAGATTAATAATCTAGAATAATAAGTTAACATCTATTCATTAATTTATTTGTTCATTTATTTATTCATTTATTCATTCGTTCATTCTTACATTCATAGGTTCGTTCGTTCGTTCGTTCATTCATTCATTCAATCATATATTCAATCCACATCATTCATTCATTCATCTACCCATAAAAGTTAACATTTAACAAACATTAATTGACATAATTCTTTAATTCGGTTGAATTTTTTGTAAAAGTTTTTCGTTACAAAATCTAATGATACCGACACTGAGTAGATGAATGAATGAATGAATGAATGAATGAATGAATGAATGGATGGGTGAATGAATGAATGAATGAATGAATGAATGAATGAATGAATGAATGAATGAATGAATGAATGAATGAATGAATGAATGAATGAATGAATGAATGAATGAATGAATGAATGAATGAATGAATGAATGAATGAATGAATGAATGGGTAAATGAATAGATAGATGTCTGGATGGATGAATGGTTGGATGAAAGAATAAATACATGAATGGCCCAAAACAGAAATCCAGACTTTAAAGAACGTGGCGTACAAGAAACAAGCATACCACTCAATTTTCTACTCGTCATCGTCGTCGTCATCATCTTCATCATCATCGTCTTCATCCTCTTCATCATCGTCGTCATCTTCTACTGTTACAGCGTCGTCCTTAATTACGTCACAAAAGTCCGAAGAATTTTCCAGAATTTTATTGGATGGTATGCAGGTTGGCAGGGGTCCAGGGATCGAGATGGCTAGACAACATGGGGCGTGGATTGTTGTGGACCTTGTTGGGTTTTTCAATGTTGACCATGTCCTTCTATACGGCGACCAATGCAAATGTTAGTGCAGTTGAATGGTTTTGTGTGCTCGTTTGTCCATCTGTCTCTGTCTTCTTGTCTTTCTATTTTAGCCAATCTTTATGAATTTTAACGTTACGAAATCTTATCATTTTAAGGAAATTTTGCTTTTGTGATATACCTCGAGCACTGTTTTCACAAATTTGATTTTGAATAATCAAAATTTTAATAAATATTTTTTTAAAATTAACCCTAATTTATTATTTAAAAGACTATCAATCCTTCCAAAACATCATTACCTCGCAAATCGATTTCTCTCAAAAGCAGGCCATCTTCACAACTCAAACAAATTCATTGTGGGCCTAAACAAAACATTCGACCCCTTGGCTAAGAAGGTAAGGGGTAAGTACAAAATCTGTGGCACCTATAGACAGCAAGTACTTTGTACTGGCCAGCCAGTGCGGGCAGATTGTACCAATGTAGTTGTTGGAGGTAGGACAAATTTTCGGCTGTACCTGGCAAAGTTTGTGGTTGTCCAACGACAGGAGGTTCATTCAGTAGGGGGGCTATTGAGGTTCAGGGAGATTGAGGTTTATTCGGGTTAGTTGGGTCTTTGGGTGTTGGTGTGGTGATTTCGTGATGGTGTTGTCAGTGGTGTGGTGGTTTTTTTTGGTGTGGTATGGTGTTGTAGTGTTGTTGGTTAATGTTGGATGGATGTGGTTTTTGGTAGGGTTTCAGTTAGTAGTTTCAAGCACAAGACATCAACGACAACATCAATATTAATGATAAATAGGATAAATAAAAAAAACTTTATTTTAAATAATTTGAAATAATTAATCAACTAATAATTATTAATAATTGTGAATAATTGACGACAAAACCAATTTCACAATCCAGACATCAGTACTAAACTCCAGTACATAGGCTGCTACGAAAAGTTCAAATCTTCCATTCAATTCAGCGTACTAACACATCAGCAATGCGTTAACCAATGCTTGTTAATAAACAATGATGGAAGTTTCAATTTTGCTTTAAGAGTAGGTTTAAATTTCGCATTTTCCATCCATATTTAATTGAATAATATCAATAATGAATCATTATTCTACATATCTCTTCACAATTCTTTTTACAATATTTTTCAAGGACTTCAACAGCAGACACACAGTGTTTGTATAAATACATATGTGAATCAATGAGTGACACGCACATCTTCATCATCCCTATTATTATTATCATTATTATTCCACTTGTTTTTGTCATTATCTTTTTTATTACCACCATTTTATATTATACAAACCCATCCACTGGCTTAAAAAACAGTATTCAGACGATGAATTAGTATGCCACTGCGGTCAAATGGCAAGCGATAGAATACCTTCAACTTACTGCAGCCACATCTGTCCGGACGAGAGGTTCACTTGTGGCGGGAAACTGTTTTATTCAGTATATTCAAGTGATTCTTCGTTACGTAATTACATATATACGTACATATAAACACACACATATATATGTACACACACACACACACACACACACACGAGCACACACACAAAAACACACATTACAAACACAGTTTGATATATACGCAGAATATTTGATACATCTAATTTTGGTCCCACACACCATACAGACATACATACGTAGAATACACATACACACACACACACACACACACACACACACACACACACACACACATACACATACATACATACATTTCTCTAGATTTATTTAAAAAAGAACTAAAGACATTTTTATTTTCTGTGAAATTGTTACCTTGATTTTCGTTTCATGAACTATCACATATAACATTTTGTTTTGTTTTTGAGAGAACGCTTATGAAATTGTTTAATTAGCGCTTAATAAATGTTTCTTAATAATAACAATAATACACACACACACACATACACACACACACAAACTTTTACACATACTTAAAGGTTCCGTCTCATTCCAGTCCTTTGTCGGTTGTTTCAGAGACGAGATGGTTGAAAAAACTGCCCATCATGTCATCTCCGATAACAACAACATAACCAGCAGAAACAACGCCCGATTACGCCATTCAATTTATAGCAGTTGTCTGAACTTCTGTGGTAAACATAACGCAAAATACTTTGCCATCAAGGTTAACTTATGAAAATTTAATATTATGATGATCTAGGTAGAGTTTTAAGTACTTGATTATAATGCCCCAAGGTGTCTAGATAAAATATAGAGTAAAACACTTATAAACATTTAAAAAAACTCCAAAAGAAAACGCAATTAATTACCTCAAAATTATCCAAAAACATCAAAAACATAAAAATACCATACAAAAATACTTTACAAAAATACCCCAAAGTGCAGGCAGCACACACGTGCATTTGCACAGACGCTCTACACCTAAAAGAGCTGCTACCTTACCAAGAATGCAATCAAAGATGTCCCGATTATGACAGGAACAAAGGCGATGACGTCACTAATAATAATAATTATTATTATTATGAAAAAAGCTGTGGGTTTTCCCGAGGTTACAGCCTTTATACCGGTTCGTGTCGTGTCATTTTTACGGTTTTGTAACATGATGTGCCATGTACCGAACGATATATTCGGCTGGTCTATACGGAGCCTAAAAATGATTGAAATGAAAGAAATTAATTTAAAAAATGTCTGAAGCAGCAGTGCCATGCTTTATAAACTTTAGACTGCTTAATTATTTAACTATTTTGCAAATATAACTATAAATGCAAATATTTATTTTATAAATATAATTTAATTATTTTAAAACCAATAAATTTGTCATATTTTTCTAGTGAGAGATTCAAAGCACATGGACTCTAGATTGAAATATAACTTTTGTGTGAATACCGACAAACTTTCCTACCTCAAATGTGTGCCCGGTCGTTGCGAAGTTGGCTGGAAAGGGATCTTGTGTGACATAAGAGGTATTTCATGCCTTTAAATGTACATTTTAGTAAATTATTTTATTATTATTATTATTTATTTTTACTAATTTTTCAAAAATAAGGTTACATAGTAATTGTTATTATTACTGCGGTATCAGTAGTTTTTGTAGTAGTAGAAGTAGCAGTAGTAGAAGTAGCAGTAGTAGAAGCAATAGTAGCAGTAGTAATAGTAGTAGTAGTAGTAGCAATAGAAGTAGTAGTAACAGTAGTTGTAGTGGTAGTAGTAATAGTAGTGGTGTTAATACATACGACCAGTTTCTGGTAGATGTGAGCAATGCTAAGGCGAAATTAAAATTCTAGTAGCAGTAGCAGCAGTAGTCGCAGTGGTAGCAGCAGCAGTAGTAGTGGTAATAGTAGTAGCGGCAGCAGTAACAATAATAATAGTGATGTTTGGCGTGATGGTTCAATGGTTAAAGGCGCCTGGTCTTGCTGCTGCAGCAACTGGGTTCGAATGCAAAGAGATCCCCGTTTATCGTTTGCAATGTGTATGATGCGTGGTTTTCACGCGTATTCATATACGATGTGCGTGTGTTTGTCGTTGAAACCTCTGAAGCAAACGCAAAAGAAAAAGAGAGTAACCTTTAACCTTTTAACCTTTAATAGTAATAATAATAACTCGTAGATTGTTCCCAATCCCTCGGAGCGTGTCCAGCAGCAATGAGGTGCATCAACTTTTTCGTAGGAGGGGTTGAATTTGGAGAGTGCCTGCCAAGGCTTGATGAATTTTCAGGTCGGTTTTTTCCGCATAATTAGTTAATTATTATTTATTATTGTTATTATTAATTATTTTCAATATTAATCGTTGTTATTATTCATTATTTCTATTATTAATCATTTTTATTTCTTATTATTATTATTAAATGTTATATCAGTTATATCAACGATATGCATATACACTCCATTGAGATTTTAAATAACTTTTTTCATAAATAATACTAACACTATTGCCGCTAGAACTACTACGACTACTACCACTACAACCACCAGTGGCTAATCTAGAGGGGGGGGTGACAGGGAGAACACTGGCCGCCCTACCGCCGTTGTGAGCAATTTTTCAAAGTCAGAAAGAGGAACGTTTTATGTATAGAATCGACCAAAAAAAGGCCACATTACCACAAATCTTGGCCGTCCCCGTCAAAATTTTGCCCCCTCCTGGTCAATATTTTGCCCCCCTCCCAGTTAAAGTTGTCTAGATTGGCCACTGACTACTACAACTGCTGCTACATATACTACTACTACTGTTTTAGTAGTTTTTTCAAAACGCTATGTGATAACAAAATGAGATAAATAGAAATTAACTAACTACCTGCATTTCTTCTCAATACCACCTAGAAGCCAACGATATTTTAAACAACGACAACGGTGACGCCACCGACATCAACAACGACAATGATGACGTCACCGACATCAACAACGACGTCATCAGCAACGACAATGTCGCCGGCAGAAACGGCAACAGCATCAAGAGCAACAAAAATTACGTCATCGACAAAGACATCTCAAATAGAGTCAACCATATCAGCAACAAACAACATGACGTCATTCACCACAGCAGCGACAACAACCACAGCCAACATAACAACAGCAGCTGGGTAAGACAATCCACTGAGGCAGCTTTTACAGCGACGATCGTCTGCGCTGTGGTCATCTTTTTCGTCATCCCGGTTGGCGCACTCTTAAAAATAATGTTTCTAGGGAGGAGAAAACCGAACGGCAGGAAACCAAAGAAAAAAAAGGGAGACAGAGTTGACGACAAGCTAGATAAAACAACGCGAAAAGTTAAATTAACTCAGAAGAAGGCGAGTGATTTGGCGGCAAAATTATTTAAAAATAAGAAAGAAAGAATGATAATACTAATAATCTGATGACATTATTAAAATTATTTAACGAGAATTTGTCAGTCAGTGATTTAGGGAATGAGTTAGTGAATGAACAAACGAATGAATTGATCAATCAATCAATTAACAAAAGGATGAATGAATGAATGAATGAACGAATGAATGAATGAATGAATGAATGGATGGATGAATGGATGGATGGATGGATGGATGAATGAATGAATGAATGAATGAATGAACGAATGAACGAACGAACGAACGAACGAACGAATAAATGATTCGAGATCAATGAATTTATAAATAACTTATTCAAAAAGAATAATTTTCATATTATTCAGTCGGCCGAAAAGAAAAACAATCAAGATGACTGATCCATACGTCTCTGACTGTCATCTTCAAATAGCATCTTATCTAATTGACTGGAACCGATAACGTCTTTCTTTAGAGAATAAGTGGATAAAGTCTTCATTTGCGTTTGGTGACAAAGATTTTATTGTAATTAAAACTTTTATTTAGAACATTCTATGTACATGCTATCGTACCCTACATGCTTTCAAGTTTTGGAAAAACATCATAATTTAGCAGGTCTGATTCGTTTAAAAAATTTTCAACAGTAACAACAATCCATTTTATTTTGTCATTACAATTAAATTGCACCGAAGGCCGAATTTATAGATGTGAAAGCCAGGTGCGGAGAAATACGTAGAAGTAGAGGCCCTAAGTATAAAATGCAGGCCCATAATTATTTAGTAGTCGTTTTTTGGCTTGCTCCAGGTTTTTTTATTAACTGATAAACTCTAAAAACTGTAAAGTACGTAAAAATTACAAAGTTACATAACCTTTCTTGTGGAAGTCCTTCTTTATAGAGGCCCAAGTGGCACCTGCCCTTCTATGAATCTGGTCCCAATCGTGCCAAACGAATCTAGATGTTAACCAAACAACAAATGTAACATAGTAATATTAAAATCAGTAACTAATGGCGATCAGACTTCTGTGTCATTCTTACGACAGTCTTTTCATATAAAAATATTTAGAAGTTCGGGTCATGTTTTGTTGCCAGCTGAGCGCGCGTGTTGTGTAATTTTAAAAAATGGCGCGTTTCAAAAACATCAGCAAAAAATAATATATATTAATAAGGAGATGATTTCGTTATGGAAGTCTTAATGAGGTTGGCTAATTTCAAGTCGTGCCGGATTAGAAAGTCCGGTTCATTCCACGTCGTCCATTTTGAGTCCTTTCTTTTTATAATATTCTCACAAGATTGCACCAGGAAAGTAAAGAAGGAGTTTTTTATTTTATAATTTTGTTATAATTTTGAAGAATTGTTCTCGTGTATAATTTTGAGAATTAATTAATCATTAATGTTTAATTATATCATTTAACTAATTAAAATTAAATCAGTGTTAATCATTTATTTATGGAATTAATTAGATTAGCATTAGCATTAATTAGGATTAGCCATTAGATTCTAATCTAATCATTAGAAGATCATTAATTTAATTAATTATAATTAATTTTAATATTAAGTTGTGCTTCAGTTTTGAGTAATTTTTTTATTTATATTTATTTAGTACATTTTTTAAAGTTTTTATATGTAAAGTTCAGTTAGTTGGCAGATCAATCATTCATTTGTCATTCATTTGTCATTCATTTCAAAGGTGAACTTCAATTCAAATATAATTTCAATTGACACCTGGAATAATTATCTATTTGGCAATACAACAGAGGGATGTTTGTATTTCTGTGAAATAAAATTGTCAGTTTTTTTATTTTATTTTAAAATTTTTTTAGTTGTGTTTTTCAATAGTTTCATTAATAGTTTGCTTGATGGCCTAATCTAATCGTTAAGATGTCTGGAACTGTTAATTGAAATGACCTGGTTTGAATGCAAAAGAGATCCTCAACAATCACATACATGTTTTTTTTGTTTGTTGTTAATACCTTTAAGAACTAGTTAAGAGAAAAGTTTAATAAGTAAATAAATAATATATTTAACGATAATTCTTTTAAAAATTAATTAATTCTAGGCCAGATGACAATGTCCCAACCAGCCAACTAGCAGTGCTGCTAAATCTACCAGCTGATAATCTACTTTTAAGGCACAATCACATCCAAAACAGCATCATAAAAGTATCAAACAACAAGTTGATAATTCTAGAACCATCTGTCAAAATTGTCCTATATAATATTGTACAGTCCGAAAGCAATGCTGTTGGTTTGGTTCGATGTTGTTACACATTTATAAATGATTTCCAGTCATCTCTGCCATTGAAATCTGGTAATTTTGATCTAATTATCTCAAAGAATTATGTTAATTAATTAACTAATTAATTAATCAGTCATTTAATCAGTTAATTGATTTAATCAATTAATTATTTTTCTATTAAAACTCTTCAATCCTGATAAATTAACTGTCTATGTTTAATGAGGATTTGTAGCTTTACAGTCATTTGAAGTTTTTAATGAAAATTTAAAAAAAAATTACATGAAACTATTAATTGAAAATCTAATTCATTCATTTATTTTTCATATTCATTCAGTTTTTGATTTAATTCATTTTTCTTGCACTGCACCAAGCAGGTACCCACACATTATCAAAGTGTCAGTTCTACAGAGTGTTGTCATCATCTATAGCCCGAGTTATGATGAACTCTTCGGCGGATAGCACAAACATAATGCACGATGGCCAGTTAATAATGACTAATATATTATTTAATTATCTATTCGATCCAGACCTAAATATTTTAAATAACCCCATTTTTATTATCACTCACCCAAATGAACCTACCAGGTGGTTTAGCTTATTTAATGCATCAAAGTTTGAGGTTCTGTGTGATTTAGATGAGCCAGTTGTCGGTTTGTTCTGCCTAAATATGCCTAGAGATATTTTAGAAAAACCCATAATCAGGAGAAAAACTAATGTGGTAAATATTCTAATAGTAGTTGGTAGGTTGGGGAAGGTGATGTTTTTATCTGAAGAGGTGAAGAAAAAGTATTCAGGTTTCCTCATTATTCAGTTGCCTGCTGTTATAAAGTGTTGCAAATTGCTGGGTGGCAATTTGTTCTATTGTACTGACGGTGGAGTGTATGTTTTCAAGGTTTGTGACTTTCTGAAGAGAAATAATTATGGTCCGGCAGATGTTGTTTGTGATGTTAAGATGATATCTCAGATTAAATTGAAGACCTTTTCTGCTTCTTTCAATAATTCGTCAGGTTGGTTATAGCTCTTAGAAATTTCTTTGTGTTTATGAGAAATTGTTGATAAAGTTTCATTTGATTTCTATGTTAGTTTGCCACTAAATAACAGTTGAATCGCTTCTGTATAAATGTTTCTGGATGAGATTTTCAATGCGAATATGAATGGGGTCCAACAGTCCAATTAGTGCTATAAAAATGGAATTTTTATGGTTAAATTAATTTGTGATGTCTCCTATTCAATTTCAGATTTTTACGACTTGATAGCATGCACGCATGATGGTTCGTTAGTTAACTTGAAATTCTCAAAAGAAACCTTGAATGACTCAACTGCCCCATTCAACAAGTTACTGGGAAGTAATTTTAATTTCAGTAATTCAGATACCGTAACTCAGATGCTAAATTCTCTATCGTTAAGCAAACGCAAATGTTCAAGCATTGCAAAATCATGTCGAAACTTAGATAGGCACTTTAAAAACCTCTCAATTGTTAGTCATCTACGTTTTGGCGACTCATTTAAAGAATCATTCGATTTAGGTGTAAAACTGCAAAAGTTATCAGAAACTGAGAATCTTAGATGCGTTTGTGCCAGGTTAAAATTCAACAAAGGATATTTTCCAGATTTAAATGAATGGACCTTCCATTGTTCACTAGCCTTTTCTAATTATGAAGAGTTTCAATCTAAAAATGTCAACCTAGCGAGTGCTAGAGAGGTTATTTGTGATGAGGAGAATGGGAAAATTGAGAAGTATTTGGAATGTGATTTGTGTTTTTTGCTAAAAAATCTGTCAACTGATGTTTTTCCTTTAATTCTTTGTGGAATTTTAGTGTGTACATTCTCTGAATCGTCATTAAATCCATTGTCTGTTTTGTTAAAAAGAGAAATAGTGGGATAAAAAAATTGTAACATCGTTTTGCTCATTGTTCTGTAACATTCGGTAGGTAGGAGTTTAAATTGTAAGAAATTTTTTGATGTTAAATTATTTCTCAAATGTTATTCATCTTAAAGAGGCATACTAAATTTTTATTTATTTTAAAGCTTTTTTCCAAAGTTACCTAATATTCTGAAAATTTTCGTGTAGGAGAAGAAAAGTATGATAAGAGAGTTTTTACTTTTGAATACTGCCTATAAAACGAGTAAACCGAAGTCCTCGTTAGTATAGTGGTAAGTATCCCCGCCTGTCACGCGGGAGACCGGGGTTCAATTCCCCGACGGGGAGTTTGGTTTTTTAAATTTTTGACGTAAATTTACACAAAATACGCACGTGTTGACTCATTTTACCAAGGAAGACGTAGTCTTCAGTATTTTTTCCATAAAACTCGCGTGAACATCTTGACCATCTCACTGAGATAATGCTTAATGTCGTATTACATTTTAATAGCTTATTATTATTATATATATTTTTATTATATTATTATTCAATCATGATTAAGTTTCGCTTTTGTTCTTTGAATTGAAAGGTTTTAAATGACGTCACGTTCACTGTTGGCGTGTGTTCGCCATTATATCACATTATGTATTTAAACGAATTTCCTTGCTCTGCCAGCTGGCTAGGCTACTACATGACCACAACATTCTCTTAGCGACTATTTCTAATTTCTATAAATATATTTTGCCAACTTTTTGAATTTCAAATTAAGATTTGATTGAATCAATCGCCCAATCAGCTAACCAATCAATCTAATCAATCAAAATCAATCAATCGATCAGAATTTTTCTAACTTTAAATAAATATACACAACAAGCCATAATACAAACCTCGCATATCAGCACTTTATATTTTTTACAGACAATGCAAACTATTAAAATAACATTTCTGGATATTGCATCGCTTTAATCGTCGTCAGCATCATCATCATTTATAAAGGAAAAAATTTGTTGCAACATGGTAATTTTATTGAAGATAATGAGTCTGAGTTGGAGAGAGAGATAGGTAGGTAGATGGATGAATAGATTAGAAAATTAGAAATATAGATAGATATACAGACAGATAGATAAACAGAAAAAAATAACTTAGACGAGCACGGCGAAACCAAACAGAATTTTCATCTTTCCATAGGCAAAGAAATTCTTACAAAATAACTTTCGCCCGCTTAAGAAAGAATAAATAAATAATTTCTATCAGCCATTGCCTTTGTTTGTAAAAATATTTGTACATTTGTTGTGTACGTATGTATATACGCGTGTGCGTGTGTGTGGTACTATTAGTGAAGCTACACATTAATTAATCATATGAAAACAAGGAAATAAACTTAATTAACCAAAAATAACCAAACTAAAGAAAAAACAAATAAATAAACCAAATAATAATTATTATCATCGATGAACCAATGTTAATGTGACAATAAAGAACCCCAAACTGATAGCAGGAGAGTCGAGAATGGAAGGTGTGGAGGGTTGCTATCCTCCCCAATGATAGCTCATATCCTCAGAACGTTTCTTAGATGATATATATATCATTGGAAAGTATGATATCCTATCAATCCTGAATAATGGACCTGGATCCATCTGTACTCCGGTCTATATACCGTGATTGACGAATGAAATAATAATAATTAAAAAAAATTTTTAATAAATAATCTCTAAAATCGCGTAGATCAAATTTATATACCCGAACAAAAAATGATAATATAATGATATTATTATCAATAAAACAATATTTCTGGAAAAAAAACATACATACAAGCACATATAGGTACTCACACATGCAAACACATACACACACTTATATAGAATAGCGGTTAATATTAATGTGCTTTCTTAAATTTCATTATATTAGTACAACCCCAGTACAAAGTTCTATAATAAAAATATGTTAATATATATATTTACTATAATTATATACTATAATTATATACCATAATATATAAACTACAACATATATATATATGTGCGTGTGTGTGTGTGTGCTATAACTAAATGAGTAATTGTAAAGGGCACATAGTGAAAAATAGTGATGAGGATGATGATGCTATATATATATATATGTTATATATATAATATATATATGTTATATATATATATAATATATATATATATGTTATATATATATAATATATATATATGTTGGAAGGAGACCATTTATATATATATATATAATTTATATATATATATACACGTATACACAATAACCATAATAAGAATAACAATATAATTGTACATGTACGAATGGTATATATCACAAAGAATTTGAGAGAAAAAAAAACAACATAGCAAACGATAACAATAGGAATAATAATAATAACAAGAAAAATCATAAAAATAATATTACCGTTGTTATTAAATCACATTAAATCAACGATGAAAATGATTTTCGTTCAAAATTTATGGGGAAAAATAATTAATGACAATAATAAATTAGTAGTAATAATAATAAAAGCAGCAATAAATTTAGCTTTTTTAGACAAAAAGGCAAAAATATATAAATAAATAGTGAATAAAACAAACATATAAATATATCTACACACACACACACACATATATATATATTTTTATATATCTGTTTAAGAGAGTGTGTGTGTGTGTGTTTATATGGAATATCTGATATACAGGAAACAGACAATTTAAATGATATTGAAGTTCGTAAAATCCATAAAATGTCTCAACAATTTATTTATTTATTATTTTTTATCATTTTTATATTTATAAATTAGTTTTTACTAAAAAAAAACACGGGACAGAAATAAAATGATAAAATCATAAAAAATAAGCGATCTAAGTGAACTGTATTTCACGGTTTAACGATTACCCAATCGATCAGTTGATCCCAATGGACAGAGTCTCAATCTCCATCCATCACAATATATCCAAATCCATCTTAATCCCTGCCCATCCGTCTATCCAACAACAACTATCCACCATAATTTTCATCATTATCATCCTAATTTTCACATCAAATATATCCACATATAGATCCATCTTACAACCATCACCGCTCATCATCATCAATTTCACCACTACAATCATCTTTGTTATTAACCAAGTTAAATACATGCTTTCGTACATACATCGATCGACCAATCAATCAAATAATCAATGTATCCGAAATCCCATCCTAATCCATCTTGATGTTAACGTAGATGAATTTGACGAACTTCAGAGAGGAGAAAAACGCCACGGTTCCTAGCATGAGGAAAAATATGTAGCAGACGAGGACTGAGAACCCGAAGAACTCGGCCGTCTGGAGCAGTCCGTACATGTTGGAGCGACGCGTGTAGTAGAACAGGGAGTAGAGGAACACAAAGGCGCCAGTTGAGCTGGTTAGTGGTTAGTGAAAAAATAGGTGGAAAAAGTGGTGCTTATTAATGGAATGTTTAATGGAAAAGAGTGATTGGTAGCAAAAATCATTTAACCATTTGTCGATTCACCGTCAGGTCGTATTTAATTTTTTACAGGTTATATCTTATTTGTTCATACATTCGTTCATTCATTTCCTAATTCATTCATTCATTCACCCATTCATTCATTTATTTATTTATTTATTAAAATTAATTTCAACTGGAATTACATAATAAGATAGTAATCATATCAAGTAACTAACAAAACTCTGAAATCCGAATATCTTAAGTGCCAAACACACAGACAAACAGACACACACACAAACGCACACAAACCACATACATACATCGACACACACACTTAAAAACATACAACCCCTGAGCACTTACACGCACAAACACTCAAAAAGACACACATTCAAACACACAAACCACATACATACATCGACACACACACTTAAAAGCATACAGCCCCTAAGCACTTACATACACAGACACACACAAACAAACGTACACACACGTACCCAGCACTGATGATTGATCTCCACCACCAGCGGTAGTCCTCAGACGACAGCTGGAAGTAGGTGAGGGCCACGGAGATGCAGGCAGTGACGCTAAGGAGGATGATGTAGACGATGGAAAGGATGCCGAACAGGGTGTAGTGCTCGCGACCCCACAACGTTGAAAAGATATAGTACAGCTCTACTGATATGGCACTGTTTGTTTGTGTGTGTGTGTTTGTTAGTGTGTGTTTGTCTGTGTGTGCGTGTGTGTGTGTGTGTGTGTCTATCAATCAATCTTCGTTTAGCGTCCAGAGACCCAGTTTCCCCGAGGTAGGACGTTGTTTTCTTTGCCATAAATTCTTATAGTGCGTGTGTCTAGACGGTGGCGTAAATTAATTTTCACGTTGCAAGGTATTGTAGCACTCTTCAGAATTGTGTGGTGATAATTGTGTGTGTGTTTGTGTGTGTGTTTAATTGTGGGTGTGTGTGTGTGTGTGTGTGTGTATATTTAGATGGCAGTGTGAATTGTTTTTACGTTGCAAGGAGCATAATACTAAAAAAACTACTCCAGCTCTAGTAGTCGAATGACGCCACGTAAGTCAGTCCCAACCCTATTAACACATCACTATCCGTACATCCTAACTAACCTAAATGGTAAAAACCCTCCGACGATGCAATGGGCCAGCGTGGACTTATAAAACGGAATGTCTGGAATTTCCCGAGCTATATTTTTAGTCCTGCAGGGAGCGTCGAAACTTCCGGCAGAGTTCTTCCCTAAGATGCCACCGATGATCGTCAAGGGGTAGCCCACTGTTGTCGTCATTGTTGCGGCGGTGGTGACGGTGGTGGTGTGGTGTGGTGGTGGTGTGGTGCTATTGAATTGTTATCAATCTTAGTTAAAACATGCTCAACACAAAGGAATGAACAAACAGACCCTGCAAGTCAGTAAGAACCAAACAAATGAAGAGACGGAAATACAAAAGGGTAGACGAAGACGTAGACAGACATTGACAGACAGACAAGAAAATAAACAGACAAAGAGGAATACATACAAACTGATTATAGATGGACTGATTATTATAGACAGAGAAACAGACAGATACTAACATAGCAACCAGAGCAGTCCAAGTAGGAGGATGGTATCCCAAGGGAGTGCCTGGGTTGATCCATAGATCCAGGCAAGAGTGTTCAACACACTCCACACAAGAAAAAAGGGACCTTTGTATGTGTGTGTGTGTGTGTGTGTCACAAAATCACAACAACAGCAACACATACAAACACATACAGCATCACAACAACAACAGC